TCTTATCTCAAAATCCAATCGACGTGCTTTTTAATGTAATGAAGAAAAAATATACATTTTCGAAAATGAGTTTCGAATTTCGAACAATTAAACGACCAATTTGGATTCGTCATGTTGAAAGCTCATCTGTAATGGCAACGTTACTTAGTTCACGATTGTTTCGATCCAGCTGATGAAGTGGGACACTTTCGTAAAACCGTCAGGAACTCCTCGGGCACATCTGCAATGAAAAATAATACCACACATAATTAAACGCAAATCAAAACGAAACGAAACGACAACATACGGTTTACCAAAGCTAACTAATCCAATGAGTTTATCACCTCGAACGAGAGGCCCACCGGAGTCAGCCTTTGAAAAGAAAATCGTTGTTAAACCAGAAGTTATTCCCATTTTTTGTGCTTAAAATATCTTCTCACCCTGCACATTCCTTCGCCACGTTTCGTAAATGTGCAAAGAATTTCATCTGTTACATTCCATGCGTTTTTACACTCTGCATCTGAAATAGCCTTTACTCTGAGCTGTTGCAGATCGTCTGGATCGCCTGTCTAACCAATTTCACATTCTTTTTAGAATCTATGCCTTTTTTTCTATCAAATTGGAGCACATTCGCTCACTTCAGTTGTTCCCCAACCAGTAACCAATAGCTCTGTTCCAGACGGAACTTCGTTAGTTTCCAACTGGATTGTTTTAACTTTATCATTGAATGTGATATTCCCTTGTACACGAATCAAACCAATATCATTTCGTTTTTTCTCGTATGACGGATGTGGAATTGCTTTTTCCACATTGAACACTTGGCCACCCGTATTAGCCTCATTCGATCCAACTCTTATTCGCAGTTCTTCTATTGGATTATTACTGTATTGAAGTTATGAATCAAAACAATACATTCAATTTGAAGATTGAGTGGTGATTTTTTTCTTTACCGAAGGCAATACGCTGCCGTAACCACCCAACGATCGGATATAATTGCGCAGCCACAAAAATGGTATAAGTCAAAAAATCCCATCTGTACGGAGCACTGGTATGGAGCTTGACCATCAAAAGCGGGTTTTCCACCAAAAATACGAGCCGAGTCATCTACAATGTGATGGTGATGAATAGCAAATTCGATGGCTTAAGGAAAATCAGTTGCTACAGGTGCAGTCACATACTTTTCGAACCATCGCCAAAGACGATATGATATTGATTTAAGAATAAACAGAACCATTATCGACTTCACCTTCATTTTATACGAATTTTCGGAGTTAATCCAACTACTCTAATGTAAATGACTTGAGTTTAATTACTGAACAGTGAACACCGCCGGTTACGTTCATTAATTTATAGCAAAGCTATGCAAGTCCAATTAGAACGTGTCGAATGGGTGAAACAAGTATGCTGTAAATCGATTTGGATTTGGTTGAATATGTCGAAATTTTCGGAAGTGCCATAAATCTATGAACGTTCATTAAAATTTCCTCCGCGCGATATTTCTTCGGCTGTTGCTTTTGCTGTGTTCAATTTGATTTATGGAAATGGTAAATTAACAGTCGATTTAATCTGAATGGTGAAATTTGTCGAAAGGCAACTTTCGTTAATCTGTCTGGAATACAAACTCAAGTTTGTTTTTATATCAAATTTGAAAAAAAAACCTATTCAAATGTAGATGGTGACACCATCCTGACAATCGTGAAAAAAAAGTATTCTTATTATTATTTTTTTATCTCTTTTTAGGTCAACACCATGTTGACTCCAAGTTTCATATTTGAGTGGGATAAACGATCGTTTCGCTCGAAAACGAAATTATCGTTCGATCCATTTTCTCATCGTCTTCATCAAATCTAAATTGAGTCTAGTCTCGAGCGATCAGAACTGAAAACTCTGAGCAACAGCAATATTGGATCATCATCTCCGATTTTCTTTCTTTGAATGTTCGTTCTAAAAATTCAATACGATAATGATATTCGACTGGAAAAATATGATGATTGTCTCATGATTTCCATGAAATGTGCAACAAAAACCAGTTTGATGACGACTAATGAACAAATGTAGCCGTGGCTTGAGTAAACAAACACGTTCGATTCATCTGAATTTTATTCTTTTGAGTGTTATTTGATCACAATATTGTCTACAAGTGACAACTTGTCTGCTTATCGTCATGTGTTACGTCATCGACTACGTTCATTCTACGTTGAAACCAGTTTTTGTTGTTAAACTCCTTTGTTGACCCCTCAATCTATGCAGAGACTAACACTATGAATATTCAAGGCGTTTTTTTTAAATTAAAAACGACTAATATCAATAAATTAAATTCAATACGAAGCGGCGAAATATGCAAATGAAATTATAAGTATTCAAAAATTGAAAAAAAGTCGTTTGTTTTGGAATTAACACTTGAGAGATACTGATTCTGATGCCGGTGCAAAGGCTAAGCGATTAAAATACTCGGATTTATCAATCACGATTTGTTTTGTGAGATGTTTGGTGCCACTCGAATTAGTTGCTATTTGATCGTCTCGGTGAACACATCACAAGACGAATGAAAATCACAATTTTGTTTTAGAAAAAGTATTGGAATCTGGGAGATTGGAAAATTGTGAATTTTGGTTAAATTTTTGGTAGAAAAAGGCTTGGAAATTTCATTTTAAAAATGAAATTGTTCATTTTTGTGGTGCTCTTGGCGCATTATTGCCTGGCAAATAACAGCAATTCTGCTGGTGTAGCACACAATGGAGAGTTTTATGAATACGACACCACTAGAAATGGATGGTACATTGGATCACCGACCAGTCCGATTATGGTGAATCTTCGTCAACATCGATATCACGGTATTCCAGATCGTTATTATGATTTTGCTAATCGCACATTCGCAAGACAACCAAGCGGTGTTTGTACTAAAGAAATTCCGTAAGTGACGGTTTTTTTGAAGAAAATTTTGTGTTGAAAAAAAAACCAATTTAATCTCGAAAACTTATTATTTATTCACAAAATATCGCAAAAATTGCTAAAATTTCATAAAATTTTACAAAATTCTTTATGATTCTAATCTTTTCCGTTTAGAACAACTTCTCTCTTGGAGCCTGGACAATCGATTCCTAGAGGAAATGGGGTAACGTTGATTTAAAAGAAAAATCCAAATTGAGAATGAAATATAGTTCAATTGAAACTAGATTTGGATTGAAATTCATCTTAGTGACGCATGAAATTAATTTGAATTTTCGTTTAAAAAACAGATCCAAATGATGTCTATTTAGTTCAAATTTTCCATTTCATGTTCAATGTAAGAACAAGCTTCGAAATTCAATATCTAAATTTTAGCTTCGCATCAAACATTCGACAATGTCGAATCGACATTTAATTTTTTTTTTTCTTCAAAAAATGAACTTCAATTTTTATCAATTCAACCAAATCTGAACATTTCTGTATTTTTATCAGTCAAATCCAACACTGAGTCGAATCCAAGTGTGTTGCCAAGGTTATCAACGTGATGCCCATATCGTTCGTAAATGTAATCCGATTTGTCAAACGGAATGTATCAACGGCATTTGCTACTCGCCGAACGAATGCATCTGTTTCCCGGATCATGTCAAGAACTTGGCTGGCTTCTGTGTGCCTACTTGTCCAATTGGTGAGTTCAGACTGATGTTTTTTTTTTTGGTTTTTTATTCAATAAACGTAAGAAATGAAAAAAAATGAACTTTTGAAAATAAAATCATTGTTAACAGCGGTTGGAATGGCCACTTATTTGATGATATCAATTCAATATTCAACTTTTTTCAATGACAAAACTGCTGTAAATCATACAAAGAGTCTTATGTCTAGTTTGATAGCAGAAAGAAGTGAAAAAGTGTTGCAAGAAGGAAGTGAAAAAAGTAAAATAATTCAACAAAAATCTATTTTCAGGCTGTGATAACGGCGATTGCAGAGAGAATACATGTGTTTGCAAGCCAGGTTTTGCCTTGGATAAAACTGGCAAATTCTGTGCACCAGTTTGCAATCCACCGTGTGGAAAAGGTAATTGTACGGCACCAAATACGTGCTCATGCAACCGAGGCTATGAATTGAAGGAAAATGGTGCTTGCGTTCCAAAGTGCACGGATGGCTGTGACTACGGTGAATGCGTCGCTCCTGAAAAATGCGCCTGTCGACCTGGTTACATTTTGCAAAATTCCATTTGCTCACCGGTTTGCGAAAAGTAAGTGTTCTTGTATCCATTTTGATTTTAAAGTTAACTTTTGAGTAATAACACGCAACTGAATTTGATAATTAATTGTTTAAGTTGCGTTTTAATACTTATGTATCATAACCACGTGACAATATTACCTCAATTCAATCTGAGACCAAACTGGAAAATATATTTTCTAAAGCATTTCAGTAGTCAAAAGAACCCAGTAATTTCGAATTGAAACGTTCACAAATAGCTGTATACGCGATAATATGCAACTCAGAATTTAACCTATTCTAACCTTCAAAACATCCATTTAAAGCATTGAGATTTGTTTTCAGTTTCTCAACTTCTCAAAGTTCATTGTGCTGAAATTGTTTCCCTTTCCAATTATTCCAGAGGCTGCATAAATGGTATATGCACCGCTCCAAACCAATGCTCCTGTCGCGAAGGATCAACAGTTGATAGAACTGGTACAAAATGTGACCCGAAATGTGATCATCCGTGCATTAATGGTAAATTCTCTTTGGCTATCTTCCAAATTTTTCGAAGATTTATTGAAATTGCATTCTTTTTCGTTTAAATTACTGAATTGATCTTTGCATTATTTTCCAAACAGGTCAATGTATCCGTAGGAATGAATGCGAATGTAATCGTGGTTATATGCCTGATCCAAATGAACCAAGCAGGTACGTTTTAAGTTTAAATTCGTTTTGCCCAGAGATGGAGTATATGTATATTAATTCGTTGTATTTACTGTACTCCGTACAGAACGGTATTACTTTTCCGCAAACTTTATTTGTATGGAAAAGTATTGGTTTTACTAGCCAAAATACTTTAAAAAAAGACTAGTCTCGCTTTTTAGCACTACATGAAATGTAGAGCTACTAATCTGCTTTTTTTTGTCTTAATACTTTTTGACTACTGAAACAAATTTATGGTGAATTTGAATTTTTTGCTCGTATTTTTTATTCAATTTAAACTAGTGGCAGTAACGACAAATAAGTGCATAGTATCATGAAACGCTAATCAAATTTTTATTATCAAATGTTTTTTTTAAATTACATTAATTTTTCGTATAGTATTTTTCTGCGTCCTGAACAGAATTAAAGTGTCTTTCGATTCTATGCTCATATTGTTTATTCAATTTAAACCAGAGGCAGTGTGTTTCAAGAAAGAAATTAAGTCAAGATCTTGTATTCATTATTGAGATAACTGAGAAAATCTTTTTTAATATATCCTTCGTACTATGCTTTTAATCCATAGTGCGAAGGGCTGTAATAGTGATTTGATCGGCACATGAGCACCATCTCTACTGATTGCCATTATTGCCATGTAAATTAATAGAATGTCCACTTCTTCTTCTTCATATTCTCAACATCCCAAGAGAAACGGCCAATATGTTTATACGCTGTCTATCCGCCGAAAATGCACTACAATATATATTCACGCTTATTGAACGCCGAATTGAATATATATTCTAGTGTATATTCGGCGTATTCTTCGGCGTGAAACATATTGAAACATATTCAGGCGCCCTCTGGTGGCTATGAATGCATTCGTTGATTCAATATGTTTCACGCTGAAGAATACACCGAATATACACTAGAATATATATTCAATTCGGCGTCCAATAAGCGTGAATATATATTGTAGTGTATTTTCGGCGGATAAACAGCGTATAAACATATTGGCCGTTTCTCTTGGGATCAATTACATACGACTTATGATAACTCTCCGCAATCATTAGAGGTGGCGCTACTTATGCGCATCAAATGACTTTTGCATTAGCTCTTATGTACTGTGTGTGCCTTTTGCCATAGTGTTATTAAAAGGGACGACTTTTAATGATATATTTATTACTGCAAAGTTACTTCGATGAAATACATTTCATGTAGTGCGCAAAAAAAAGTTTGTTGTGAAACAACAAAATTGAATAAGTAACTAAAATCCCAAGAACGGTCTTGTTTCATTATCTAATATCAAACATTCGACGAAAACGTGCAATAAATGAAAGCTAACGAGAAGAATTCTTCAGAATTTAAATTTTTGAAGGTCAATTCTGTTTTTTTTTTTTCAATTTTGCTTCTTATTATTTATTGAATGTTCGATTTTAATGTAGAAAAAATTAAATTTCTATCAATTTATATACGGACTAAATAACATTTATTTTAAACATATCATTCATTTCCAGATGCAATCCTCATTGTCCGGAACCATGCGTGAACGGTGTTTGCAGTTCTCCTGGCTTGTGTTTGTGCAATGTTGGCTTTGTCAAGGATCGTTCAGTGAAGGGAAGCCAAATTTGTATTCCACTTGTATCATACTTATGATGAAATTCAATTTGATTATTGAAACGGATTGAACCAGAGGAGAATTCATGGAAGAGATAACAGAAAATAGGATTGAAAAAAAAAGAAAAAAAGTTACGTGATTGTGAAAGGAGAAAACAAATTGTATGTAGAAAGTGAAATGATGCTCAATAAATGATTTAAAAACCCAAAGGTTCTATCGCTTGTTTATCAATTCGAAAAAAGCATTTGAAGCCATTTGACTTCTTATCAATGAATTTAGCTCATCGTTCAAATATAGTTGCACGTACATCGTACAAGCTATTGAATCTCATTCGTTTGTTTTCAATCACATGTTATTGATTTGGGTTTTGCCCGAGAGATAGAGATGATTCACAGAATTGGCTATTGCTTTTCGACATATCAATTTGATTGGATTATTTGAATCATTCGAAATGAATTCACGCAATTTTCTTCTATTTTCAACAATAATTTCTCGCACTTGAAGAACCGACTTGGTTTCACAAATATTGTAACAGTCAAAATAGAGACTCATGCACATTAAGGAAACGACTCAATAAAAACTGTCGTATATTATCGCCCTCTTCATCACTATCTTGGAATAGAGACAACAGCAAAATCCATTATATCTCTACAATTATAACAATTTTACACATGCCCATGTCGTAGGTATTTTAGTGTATGCTTCAACACTTTCCGAATCGTTTTTTTTTAGGAGAAAAATAACATTCTAAAAGGAGTTAAAGCGAATCAGAAGAGAAAATTTGAAGGTCGAAATTAATTTGTATCGAAAACCAAGAAAATGAGTATCATTTTTCGAGCGAATATGAAAAAAAAAATATTTCAAAGCAGAAGAACGATTATCCAGTTACTAGAAGTATCAAATACGTGTGTCGCTGAGCACAAAAATGGGAATACAGAGATCTGATTCCGAAAGAACGAAACATGAAACATTTGACATGCTTCAACATGGTTAGACTAGTTGCGAAGAAACAATCTTGGTTGTTCTTTCTATAACACATTCATATACCTATTTTTATGCTCAGCGACACATTTCATCAATAACCCAAGCGCGACTCCACACTTAGCTTCTAAATGTGACACCGTAGTAAGTGTGGGCATACGTTTTGCGAATAAGAGACAAAGAGAATGGAAACAAGTGCGCGTGTATTAGTCGCTACATTGAGAAGCATCGCATCAGGCTACTCACTACCACACGCGCACTTGTTTCCATTCTCTTTGTCGCTTATTCGCAAAACGTATGCCCACACTTACTACGGTGTCACATTTAGAAGCTAAGTGTGGAGTCGCGCTTGGGAAATATCGGTTCGATAACAAAATTAGACCATTAACTACGACAAAATATAACAAATATAATCAACAGCAAATAGTTAATTTAGATTTGAATGCAACGACGCGAAACGGAAAATGTATGTACAATTTATAAATATGAAGTTGACAAACTTTTACGGATCTTATCAGTCGCGCCAATTTTCACCTTTTGTGTGAAAAAAAAAACCATAATTTTGTCGCCTCGTATGAACGTTTGACGCTACGGGCTTCGTGTTCGCTTCGTTCCGCTTTAGTGCTATACTAAACATATGTATACACGAAAAAACAGTTCACAGAGAGAACAGTGGGAATGTTTTTGAGCGTTGACATGGAGTGAATTTCAACTGTACCCCATCATTCCATGTGCGACAGACGAAACTTTTACAAAGTAAAAAGTAATGCACAGTGTACTAACATAGATCAATCCGAATGAAATTTAGATTCCAAAAGGTTTGTGCTGACTACAGTGTACCAATGGCTCTATACATTAATATAGGTTCACATCAGATTTCTGAAGTTTTCGCCTATATATTGTAGCAAAAAAACTAATGGCAATTTCTCCTTAAAAAAATTTGAAAGCACTAAATATATGCTTTTCTTTTCGGTTTCGGTACAATTTGTGAAGATAAATCGGAATGAAGCAATTTGTTCAACACAATTGTGTTGTATTGTGATATATCCAATATTTCACACTGTTCAAAATATTTTAATATCCATTTTTCTATCACTAATTGCGATAGTTTGACCGTGCGATGTCTCCGTATGTCAATTTTCCAAAATTAAATAAGAAAATACATCGGACGTGCAATTATATGGTCGCGGCCACGTAAGACGAAACCACGGAAAAAAAAGTTAAAAGTGAAGAAAAAATGGTCTTAAAGTTATTAGATTGCTATGAAATTTTGCACCAAACTATTATTTCATAAACTCAATATATTCTGAGAATTTCATGGAATTTGGATTATTTTTTCTTATCAAATTGCCAAATTTGCGATTTTTTTGGTCATTTTTCGACTTTTTGTGGACTCTTTTTCGAGGGCGTAAATTTCTATTAAAAATGTACAAAATCAGTAGGTTAAATACATATTCTTATAGAAAAAAGTTCAAATTTTAATATTCAGTCGACAGAAATCACATTCTTCTTATCGCATCCTGTTTTTTTTTGTCACGAAGTTTGTACTTGTAAAGTTACTGACGTTTTGTTTAACGTTACTGACGTCACTTTAACGTCTGTAGATCCACCAAAAATATGTTTTTCAGCGAAATCACCATTTCTATCGTTTCTTTGATCCTTTATCTTGGGATTCTTGGTTATGGCTTGTAAAATAAATCGCTAGATTCGCTAATTTTTTTGGAAATATAAAGCAACGTCGAAAATCACTTCCAAAATTATGTAACGTTACTGACAACTTTGAACACTTATAAGTCCGTAATCACAAGTGATAGACAATACTTTAAGCCATTGAATTATTAGTCTTGGGAAGCTCTATCATATGCAATAGAAAAACTATGAGTCTTATTTATTTTTTGAAGAGATATGAGCAAAAATGTGCAAAAAAACGTGACGTTACTGACGATGGCCGTGACCATATGGGAAGTGGTGACATTCACTCAAGCAAAATAAACCATTAGATGTGCATATATAAAGCGAAAGGCAAAGTGCATTTTCTATAGTTAACCAATGACTTTGTTTGTGAAATCAAATTAGTTCATCGAAGTAAAAGAAGAACAAGTGTCCAATTGTGAGATTAGAGGAAATAGATACTAAATCTTTGAAACGAAAAAAAATATTTATTAAATAATATATTAATTGTTGGTTGAGAATTTTTTGCTATTCATAAAAAGTGATAATTTTTCAAACAGACAACGATGGCTATATTTGCGACCATAGGGAAAATGCCACAATACATTTCAAATGTAAGTCATTTGACACATAGCAGTCAATGCCATCTCAATTCCAACTCATTGAATCATTGTATTTTTCGGCAACTTTTTTCAAACGTGTATGGTTTTACTAGAATATAATCAACTTTACGGCGACGCTAACAGCTTCTCTGTGGGCCGGTACTACGCGTTAGCCAAAACGTATTGATGTTTCGCAATGGTTACTCGATGCATTTGCCAAAATACTATGATTTTTTTACTCTCTTCTACGATGTGTGTGCATGTGCAGAGAAGCTGCTAGTGTCGCCGTAAAGTTGATTATACACTGTAATTCCAATGGGATTAGAATTTAATCCATTGAGATTTTTTAGCTAAAAAATCCAAAAGGATTAATATTTAATCCCAGCTATATGAAAAAAATCCATGCGTCAAAACATTATTATTGAAACGAAATATTTCAGAAATTCAAATTGTCGAATTTTTTTTCAATGTGTAGCATTGCAAATGTTCAAGCGGCTTTTGCAAAGTGATATACTAACACACGCACACGCATTGTCATCAGTTCTGTGCAGAAATCACAATACAAACGAATAGTATACAGTATACTAAAAATTGAGGACAAAAAATCAAACTTCTGCAAATGTCATCAACATGAAACTTTCAGAATCTTAATTTTTCTCCAAAAAATGAAACCTCAGAAAGTTTGAAGCCAATCAGAATCGATTAACGGGTACCTCCCATACAAAAGTGTCAATTTTTTGAGGTTTTTCTTAGGGCAAGTACCCTAGGATCAAATCCAAAATGGCTCATCTTCGAACTTAAACTAAGTTTATTGGATACAAAACTTTTGGCGTTTCCAGATTTTGATTATCTCAATTATTTTTTGAGTTATCGTGTTAACAAACACCAACGACGACAACGACAACGACAACGACAACGACAACGACGACGGCACACGAACGGAAAAGTGTCTCAAAAAGTGGTTTTCATGAGTTTTTATGATGATCTAAGCTAATTTTGCGAAAAAAGTTTTCGGGACCAATTCCTATACTTTCCCTTGACACGTTGTGTACGGAAAAGTAAAATGATTAAAATGCGTAGCTCTTCACTTGGTAACTGTTTTGAACATCATGTAGTAGGTGAATACTGTTTGAAGTAATTGAAAGAGTTAGAAATCAAAAAAATGAATGAAACGTGCAACTCACCACTGAAAGCTGTAGACTCTACGTAGTGTTGACCGTCGAACACTTTCGAACGCTTGTTCGTTCGTTCGACATGGTTTTAAAAAAAAAGGTTTTGTTCGTTCGTTCGTTCGACAATTTAAAAAAAATATTTTTTGTTCGTTCGTTCGTTCGACAATTTGAAAAAATATTTTTTTGTTCGTTCGTTCGTTCGACATTCATTTTGTTCGATGTTCGGTCCGAACAAAAAAATTTTTACATTAGAAAATTCGATGTATTGATCAAATTTATAATGTAATCGTTACAGCTCATGCTTTTATTATAATTTTTCATAGTAATACAAATTTTATTCGGGAGATTTTGAAATAAAAAAAACTTTGTTCGGACCGAAAATCGAACAAAATGAATGTCGAACGAACGAACGAACAAAAAATATTTTTTTTAATTGTCGAACGAACGAACGAACGTTCGAAGCCATCACTAACTCTACGTAAATGCAACGCTCCTATTCACTTTGAATTTGACAACTGATATTGAGCGCAAACACCACCTAGATAATTTAAGGCTAATGACAATACAATCAAGTAAACTCTCCGTTCTGTCAAACGTCATACTGAAATATAACATACAGACATCACGAATTCGCCATCGGTTCTTTAGATGGCGCTTCGGTCAACCGAGTTCCAACCAAATACATGTATCAGTATACGAAGCATTCCACTGTTGACGTAAATGGCTTGACGTAAATTTACTCACTGCACAAAATGTTTCCAATTTCAAAATGCAATGCCAAAT